CAGTGCCATTTTATTGCACATTTCATTGCAGGACACATCCACAGTTAGTGCTTTATGAAAGAAAATATCCCAGGGCGGCCATAAGATGGAACACTTACAGTATCTCGGCGATAATCATCACAAATGAGATATTTAGACACTGATAAAATGGTCCATACCAAAATCACGTCCAGCTCTTACACGAAACATTCAGAGGATAAGTCGGAGCACTTTAATTTCATGTTCCATTACACGCCGCCTAAGCGCACAATTACATCGTGGCACATTTCTCTACATTAAGTCTGACAGAAAAATGGAGGCCAGAAATCAAAGACAAAGATGCAGAAAAAAGGGGCCCTCCAACAGATTGTCACAGTGAATCAGTAAGGAATCAGGAAGAAGGTGGTGGGGCGGGAGAAGGGGAGACGTCCTTATGAAAATCCTCCATCAGAGTCCAGAGGCTTCAGTGCATGTGAGAGGTGTGTCCTCTATCATGAATGTACCAGGATCTGATCTTAAATCCTTTTTGGATGAACAGCTGCAGTGACGGCTGTAATCCACTGCGCTATCCTAATAGGAAACCCCCAAAACTCTCATAACAACCATTTCTGACCTTTGTAAAAACAAATATAGCAATAGTGGGTACTGATTGTACATGACTTTACATGACGTGTATTGTAGTCAAAGCTGCACTGAAGATAATCTGTTCTTTCCAAAGGGTGATCAACACCACTGAATGTTGAAGCCAATGTGAAAGCGCTCTAAGCTGAAAAACCTTTAATGGCCACTGGAGCTCCATACTTAACACAAATAAATGAGAGTGGTATCCATGTGGATGGTATCCAACTCTAAGAGTAAAATCACACAGGGTTTCCCCAGGTCACATCAGGGTCAAAGGTCACAGCCTGTGACTCTCCAAAGCAATAAGTTCAACTCTCCTCTCTGTCTGCCCATCTCCTACGCAACCGAAGGTCAAGATTGGCTTTAATTTCTTATAAAGCCTACGTTTTTATGTAGCACGCCATGGTGGTGGTTAAATCACGATGCTGGCCCAAAACCTACCAAGAAGGTTTGATTTCAGATTTGGTTCTGGCACTACATTGTGTCCTCACTCTGTCCACCGCTTTTGCCATTCTGCCATTTGCCATAAATATTGCTGTGTAAGACATCCTGAGTTTCCTGAAACCTTCTGCATTAATAGAGCTGACCAGCTCACAAAAGCTCCTTTATCATTTATCGAGTGTCATATTATACTCCTAGAGAGAAAGTGAATAGGCATATTTCCCAAAATCCCCAAATTCCTTTAAATAGAGTCAAGAAATGATTTTCATGAAGTTGTTGCTGTAATGTTTGAGTTTTAGTTCCGTAGTTGTGGCCATCATCCCTATCACTAAATAATAATATTGTACTCACTAAATAAATTGATGAGATCAGGGAGCAGACACTCAAATTATCTAAACTTAAAGAACTTTTTTTTTTCCACAAACTATCTGTTGTAAAGATCCATCACAGTTTATAGATCGATTGTGGTACAACACTGACTGACCGTAGTTACTGTAGTTGTGTGCACATAGTTTTCCTGCGCAATGAGGGATTATCAGCAACATTATGGGCGTGCTCATTTGTTTTGTTTTTGTTTTTTTAAATCTGGCTCAACTGTTGGTTTGTTTACAAAACTGTCTGATCGTCTGCTCATGTTTCTTGCCCCAGATATTAGCATTTATTTTGGTGAGTGCAATGTTATCATAACTGATAGAAATGGTGGACAAAACTATAAAAAGAAGTTGTAATAAACAGGACTTATTCTATATTGTAGCTTTTTTGTTGTGAACATCTTCTCGTGTGAACTTGATGTTACTGTCCACAGAGTTGATGTGTTCTGTGAAGGCTTGCACTTCCTGGCTTTTAATTTTGACCCAGGTGTCGTCCACATATCTGTACCAGTGGCTCGGTGCTGTTCCTCTGAAGGAGTTGAGGGCTTTACTCTCCACTTCTTCCATGTAGATGTTTGCCACAATCGGGGATACTGGTGAGCCCATGGCACAGCCATGCTTCTGTCTGTAGAATCCACCGTTGTACTGGAAGTAGGTGGTGTTTAGACAGAGGTCGAGTAATTTGCAGATTTGGTCAGGGCTGAGGCTAGTTCTGTTGTCCAGGGTGTTGTCTTGTGTTAGCCGTTTCCTAACGGTTTCTACTGCCTCTATGGTGGGGATGCAGGTGAACAAAGAAGTCACGTCATAGGATACCATGGTTTCATCTGAATCCAGTTTTAGTCCTCGAACTTTGTTTACAAAGTCAACAGAGTTTTGGACGTGGTGAGGCGTGTTTCCCACCAATGGAGCTAAGATGGAAATAGAAATGTGTTTGGCAATGTTGTAGGTGACCCAGTTAATGCTGCTGATAATCGGCCAGAGTGGGGCTCCTTCTTTGTGTATCTTGGGTAGTCCATAAATGCAAGGAATGGCTTCTCCAGGATACAAACGGTAATATTGTTCACGGGTGATGGTGTTGTCCTTCTGTAACTGTTGTAGACATTCTATGGCCTTTTTCTTGTATCCGCTGGTTGGGTCTCTCAGCTATTTTAAGTTACATAACTAGGATGACTGAGAATCTTCATAGACAACTGAAGTCAGTACATACAAAGAAGAAAAAAAATGGGTAGCTGTTTTATAACTATTTACAAATTCACAGGAAAAGGAGCGCAGATGTCTCAGTCAATGATTGCCTGCCCCATTTACAAGGCTTAGACCTTGTACCTTATAGTCCTGGGTTCAATTCCAGCCCTGGGCCCTTTGCAGCATGTCTTCCCCTCTATCCCTCATTTCCTACTTCTCGCTCTCCTATTCAAATAAAGGCTAAAGAGCCTAAAAATATATATTTTTTAAAGGTTTAAGGGGAAAGAAAGTAGAAGGAAAATACATATTGTACTTTGTGTTGTACAATTGGCATCATTTGTAGCAAATAACTGCCACCGTTAAGCCTACAAAATCAATTAATATCTTTGAGCAGTGACTGCAGCAGCAGGAGATTCTCATTGTTTGCCCTTGCACACACAAGTTACTATCTTAACTTGGCAGCTGACACTTTGCCAGAGTGGATGTGCTGAGAGGTGTATTAGAAGTGATAATGAATAACACACTTCCAGTTGAGAATGAGGCAATTAAAGTGGGGTGTAAACAGCAGAGGGAGGACTGAGTGTGACTTCCCTCCTGAGGGAATCCTCCAACATCTCTCACACCTGAGCGGTCTGTGGAGAACGCTCGCTCTGATGAGGATGCCTGATGACAGTTAGCGACAGGAGAATGTAACACAGTCGCACAGTACAGCTGGATGACAGCCAGGAAACAAGGAGCTGAACTGAACGGCCTGCATTTAACATGGGCCACACCTGAATGTTCCTGCTTGCTTTTAGGTTTTATATTTTATAAATGATGAGGACTTGGAAGAAGTCTGCAGGACATTATATAGCTGTTAAAGGCAAAATAGTGCTTCTTGTGACGAGTAAACTGAATTTTACGTGTAAAATTGGTGGCATGCCCCTTACATTAACACATAAATCCCATTAAGCATACATTTAATCAAGCAAACTGGTTGCTTCCAGGGAATGAGGGGTTAAAATGCTGACTGTTTAATCCCAATGTCCCCAGTTCAAGGCTGGCTGGACATCTTTGCAGTGTCTCCTCCTCATTATCTGGCAGCTCTGTAGTGTACTGTCTAATAAAAATTACCAATAAACACTTGAGTAAGACAAAAAGTAAGATAATATGGAAAAAGTAATGAATCCCAAATGCTGTTAAAATATTTCAGTGTGCTTGTTCAATAACCACAAAGCTCACAACAAACAACAAGTTAAAGGAACATGGCATAAAGTATTAGTGGAGAAAACAGTTAATTGAAACAGCACTAACAGCATGCAAATAAATATTTCAATATAAAACATAGAGATACATTTTAGTGGGCTTCCTATGTCCTGATTTAGCCAGTCAACGTTCAGCTATTCAGACTACAGACAGTAATCATTATGAGTAACTATAATTTTAAGGAAAGGAAAATGAACAGAATCAATTAAATTATTATTGTGTAACTGCTGTGTAACACTGTTGCTTGTCTTACATGTAGATGCAGGCAACTGTTAGAATATTTCAACAAAGGTGATAATAGCTTTTGATGATTTCAAAGAAAATGTCAAACTCTTGAGTGTTTAAGAATTATGTGAATATTTTTTTTTTTGCCCTAAAAAACGAAATGTGAATGTGTGTGGTGTGGCAATGTAGGACTGATACTCAAATATTGTTTCTTTTTATTTGCTATGTTTTTTTGGTATGTAGGGTGAATTGAGGTGACCTGGGACATTGGGTAATGTGGGAAACCTAAGCTAAAGTGTGTTTAACTCCTGTTCTAATAAAATCTAGTCAAAAGGAGGTTAAATAAAGGTTTAGGATGAATGCCATGTGACTGAAATGACAGGACTTCATGGCTTTGAAGTCACACAAATGAGCAGAGCACCTATCAATCAGGAAGCAGGAAGCTGCCCTGGGGATTGCATGACCAGGTCAATGACAATTCTGACAAGATTAATATTAAAGATATAAAAATGTAATAGCCTAAATAAGACAATGTTCCAAAATGCTATATATGTTTGTGATCTAGTGAAGCAACAAAATATGCATCAAAGTGTTGAAAATTCAAACATGTTTTAGTTGTCCCTCTTTATCAAATTGAGAATGTGGGACTGCATGCTTAGGGAAAGCTGGGACAGTCATTTAATAAGTTCTTTAAATGGGGTTAATATGCATTTAGGGACTTCCTGAAGTTGCATACATATATTCAGGGTATATAAGCATAATGCCGGTAGACAAAGGCACAGATCTCGTTACAACTAAAGGCCGGGACCACTGATATAAAGAGTATAAATTATTTTTAAAAAGTCAGGCTTCTTACCTTGCGTTGCCTGACCAAATATGTTTGGGTCTGTTCTTTTAATTCAGGCAGACCTTGGGCACAGTGGAGGGGTCCATTATTGATGACGTCTCTGGTGATTTGGAGATGTTGTAGCTGAAACTTGATCAACATTGCATTGGGTTTTTTTTTTTTTATTAATGTAAACATATGTTTACAAATGCGAAGTTCGTATTATAAGCCCCAAAATGGCAGAAACTGCACATATACCAAACTGAAAGGTGAGTTTCTTGTTAATGACTTGGCTCTAATCAAAGCGGCATGCTAGCTAGCCTGCCCGGGCAGACTCTGGAATTAGCCACTAGTTGCCACACCGCTTTGAAAATTATGTCATTTTAAGTTTGACTTGGTTAACGGAAGTATTGTTTACCTGCTACGACTTAACTTAATGAATAGTTTCTAGCTCATTTGGTTACTTGTGCATAGTCGGCTTATAATAATTTACAAAGCAAGCCCGTTTTGTCAACAAAATCTCAGTTTTTAAAATCGGTGATGATACAATGCTCCCCTACGTTTAACGTTATGTTACCGTTACATAAACGTTAACTGTTAATGAAACGTTATCCAATTGTATATTAGCACCTACAGACTAGGGGTAGAATCGTCTCGTCAGTGTTGCTTGCAGTATCAGATTCTTATTGGATTAAAGTCCTCTTAAAGAAAGTCTTGAGCCATGCTGATGAACGCTTGCTAGCACGTAAGCCTGAAATTTGACATACTACCAAATGGAGTTTGGTGTGTTTCTTCATACATTCAGAGCAGAGCGTATAAACTGGAGACAGGTAATGTAGGTAACGTGATTATATGCAAGACAAGTCAGTGGCTGAGCCTTTAAAACAGCCAGGTAAGGTTAGATAGCAGATATTAGCTCCACTAATTTCTTTGACGGTTCTAATATGGTTAGTTTTTGCTGTGTTCTTCACTTGGTGAATTCAGGATGTCACTAAAGATACAGTTTCAGTAGGTTGGTCACTTGTATTTCTCTTCCACCTGACACTATGACTGGTAGATCAGGCAAACAAGCCACAGCCAAAATGTAACAGCATTTATTTGGTCAACCATGCTATACTGTTTAAAAAGACTTGATATTTAAGATTAAGCATCCTTTTGGTTCTCAGCTTCAGGTCAGGCCAAGGCAGACTGCTCCAGTCCAGCCATGCCTCAGAAACTCCAGAAGAACCCCCAGACTTCACACTACATTGAGCTAGGAGGTTATCAGTATTGGCCTGTGCTGGTGCCCCGAGGTATCAGACTGTACACCTACGAACAGATCCCACTGTTTCTGAGGGAGAACCCCTACATCACAGATGGATACAGAGCCTACCTGCCCTCCAGACTGTGCATTAAGAGGTGAGACGCACTGGAGAGAACGGCATTTTGCATGTTCATACAGCATGAAAATGTTTGAACTGAAGTACTTAGGGCTGTGCAGTTGAGATTACTGATCTCAGTATGTAGTGAAAGATGTGTATGTTTGTAAATCCTCTGTGCAGCCTCTTCATTCTGTCCAATGAGACGGTGAATATCTGGAGCCATCTGTTGGGCTTCCTGCTCTTCTTCTGTGTTGGGGTGTACAACATGGCCTCAGTACTGCCTGCCGTCGGTGCCTCCAGAGAGGACTACGTCATCTACTCCATTGGAGTTTTCTGCTTCCAGGTACAGAACTAAGTTTTCCAGTTTACTAAAACCATGACGGTCTGATCAGATGACTCGTTGATGGGTTACGAACCCATTAGTTGACTGATATTACAGTAAGGCTGTGCTGTGGTTAAGATTGCAGCTGTCATCCATAATGTCTTTTAGCTCTTAGAGTGTTAATTTGCCAGCACAGTAATAGTGCCTCTCCTAAGTCAGCTATTCTCAAATGTTGATCAGCTTGTTGGGTTAGATCTGTGCACTTAATGCTGCCAATAATGTCTCTCTAATGTAGAGGCAGGAAAATGGGAGTGCCTGAACCAGTGGTGTCACATCATGTGGATAGTTGAGCTTTTTCCCAGTGTTGCAGCGGATTCTTCATTCAGCACAACTTTCATCTTTCATATCATTAAAACCTGATATTGAATACCTCTCATCTCTGGAAAGTTACACATAACAGGTTGTTGTATTTAGTTTGTGTCAGATTTCAGGTTTAAGTGTAAATACGTCTATCTAATAACAAAACATGAACTCATGAATGATTACTTTTTTTAGACCAAATTCTAACAATTTGTTGTTAATTGAATAAGATATTTCAGGTCTGTTTCTGTCATCTTTACGTTTAAGTTTACCAAGGTAGGGCTTATTTTACATTATGCTGTGCGTTCCAGTCTCAATAACACCAAGCTTTCTCCTTGCGTTGAGCAGTGTGGTGATTGCAAATTAATATCTTGGAAACTGAATATGTGGCAATTGCACGGTGTTACCTTAATCTGAGTGGCTACAGAAGGACATCAGACCTTATCCAAAATATTGGCAGTTATTCTCAACAAATAAAATAAAAAATCAGTCCAGCAGTTGGCTGGATGAGGCTTGATAACCAGAGTATTCAAGCCCAATTTAAAAAATAACATGAGTCTATAAAAAAAGGCAGGCTTTTGAGATGAAAATGTTTAGGAAACCTCTCGTTAAATCAGAAATATTTTTCTACTTGTTATCTTGTTGTGCTTATCACATTCTTTGCTGTTGTAAAACCTGACACCCCTCTTGTCGTCACCTCTGGACTATATCCCCCTCAGCTGTGTATGCTGTGCTCGGTGGGTTATCACATATTCTGTTGCCACCGCTCGGAGAAGACCAGCCGCCGCTGGATGGCGCTGGACTATGCAGGGGTTTCTATCGGCATCCTCGGCTGCTACGTCCCTGGAGTCTTCTACACCTTCTACTGCAATAATGTAAGTTTACCTTCAGCCTGGAGTTCACTTCTCTGATTTGTCTCCCTGCATGCCAGTTAATTTTAAGTGTTCTTTATATTGACAGCGTAGGTGGTAAATCAGAAAATTCATCAGATACTTTACCCCTCAGCAGATCAGATAAGATCTGATAGACTTAATTGATCCCACACAGGGAAATTGAGCATCTACTGTACACAAATGAAGCATGAAAAAATAAATTGCACTTGAAGGAATCAAATCAGATAGAAGATAAGCCGATAAGGAGTCTCGTACCTGCAGACAGCAGTAACAGATTTCTGGTTAAATATCATCAGCGTTTGCTTGAAGACCAGTGCTATTTCGTGACTGAACTAAATCATCTCTCTCCTGAGCTTGACTTTACAAGAGTTGATGTGTCACTGTGTGTCTGTCTGCCGAAACATTTGCAAAAATTATTACATTTATTTGGTTAGGGATTCAACAGAAAAAGCATTAGACAGATTAGTCACTTCCTTTGTCATCTGAACCCTTATCTCTTCATGCAGCAGAGTACACAGTGTCCCTCTGGAACTGCATCCAGAGCGTCAGTCAGTTTAAATCCTTAAAAACAGCTAAATGTGAAAAGCTGCCCTCCAATCCTCTGTGACTCCGTTACGCTCCGCCGCAGTTTATGTGTAAATGGCTTATTGTCCTTGATGAGTCACCAAACTACACTGTTTCATATACCGTCTGCACATATGTACTCACTACTGAGTTGATATTTCTTCTCCTAACCCTTCTATGATCTCAGAAAAACTGTCAGACTGCTGTGGCTCAGACTTTTTTTTTTCCCTTTGGTACAAATACTTAATAGCAATTCAGTCTGCCATTGTGTTCTTGTTCTCGTGTTTCTTGTTGGGGAGGGGGTTTGCTTTGTTTTGTCTTAACCAGTCAGTAGTGGCCTGCCCATGTATCCATCCATGCGTGTTGATTTTTCTGTTTTACATGGGTATCATTAGCAAGCTATGCAGGAAGTTGATATTGATGTTCTAGGACTTCCATTGGTACCACAAAATAATCAAGATTTGATGCTCAGCTCTATTTGCTGCTCGTATCGTTGGTGATCAGAGTTTATTGAGGCTTTTTTTACTATTCCAGTCATTGCAGCTTCATGCACATTATGGATAATGTAAATATCTTTTATGTGAGCTTTACTGCACGCGTCAACGCTCTAACATCTAACCACCATTCTCCCTGGAGACTTTCTCGCTCAGCATCCCCAGCCTGAGAAGCAGTAATTGAATAAAGCTGAAGTGGAGCCCACAGTCTGGCTCTGCTGATTGACTCATTGTTCCTGGTGAATAAGCAACATGACACCTTTGCTGCACTCGCCGTTTGGAAAACAGCCTCTGATGACACAAGCCTGTTCCTTATTCCAGCCGCCCACCACCATGTTAGATTTATTTTTTTTATTCCTGGTTGTACTTCTTTTAATTTAATTTTTTTTTTTTACTCATGAAGTATTTGGCTGTGCTGCGTACTGTTCGCTTTCCCCCGCATATTGGAAGCACCGGGTTATTTTGCCCCCAGAACGCAGCTGAAATCTGCTCCAGCCCAAACCAGATGGCTGCGTTCACGGAGCGGTCCGTCACTCCTGTTCCCCACCATATGACGTTCGCAAGTCTGGGAGCTGTCTCAGCTAAGGGGCCCCCCCTCCCCGTCCTTGCCAAGACTAGGGCTCCGCTTCTGGGTGGCTCCACTCCTGTGGTAAGCCAAGTCCCTAAAGAAAAACTGATTTTTATATTTAGCCATTCAAACTCTGTCTCTTCGAGTGTTTTAGAAATGCAGATTTGGAGGAGAGAACATAATGTCTGTTAAGAAAAGAGCCTAAAAAAATTGGCTGGAGCCGAGCGGGGCCTTATTCCTGGTGCAAATTTATTCACTGTGAAATTCAGCAGGACTCGTTACATGAGGACGTGTGACTGGACGGAGGCCTACATCCACACAAATGGACAGAAGGGACTGAGACGAGGCTGTCCAGACTGTGCACAGTTACTTATAGAAGTTTAAGTAACTGTGAGGACTCAGTGTAGGTTTGGTACGATTAAAAACAGTTGGAGTGGAGACCTTTTTTTAGCACATGCATAGATCTTCACTGATTGAGGATGTTTTTTCGTTAGCTGCCTATGTACGTAAAACAAACCCATACGTGATTTGGTAGAGATCAGACAAGCGTAGGCGTTAAGTAAACTAAGAAATCCTCAAGTAATTTGCATCACAGAAAGTTTATGGCTTCAGCAAACAGTTATTTTTATTCTTATTCTTTATTCTTGTCTTATTTTTTTAATGAATTAAAGATCAGAAAATTGTGAAAAATGCTCATCACAAGTCCCCGAAGCGCAAGGTGAAAACTTGGGTAAAGCTCAAAAATAGTTTTTTTTTGTCTAACAGTCTAAAACCCAAAGATATTAAGTTTACAATGAGATGAATCCAATAAAAGCGACAAAACCTCACATTTGACAAGCCGGTCAACTGATTAGTTGACAAACTGTTTCAGTCCTAACAAAGAAGAAGTTGAAATCAAGATGCAGTGCAAAAGAGAGTAAGTAAAAATAATAATAATGAAATCTATTTTAAAACACGTGGTCATGACAACCTTAATAAGCCAAATAAACATCATGAATCACAGGAATAAATCCCCAATGGAAGTGTTCTGATTGTGTAATAGTGGGTTTCTCTGTGCTGCATGTTCATTCACAGGTTAATACAGCAGTCCAGTGCGCAAAACATACATACATTTATTAGGTTTACAATTTCACTGAGCTTAAAAATCATCGTGTTGGCCCTTTATTTCATTTGTGCTTTTTTTAAAATGGTCTTGAATTCATTTTTGCGTACGTCTGAAAGGTTTTAGTTCGATTCAGTGGGTGTGGTATTACTAATGCTGGGGGGGCATAAATCTGTTTACACAGTCACATTGTGGGGATTGGGCTTCCTTAAAGGATGTGGTGAGGTAAATCATTTCATTTTAGGGTGAAGACTTGGTTTAGGATTAGGGTAAGGTTTAGGCAAGTAGTGTTTAAGATTAGGGTAAGTCTCCGGGGAACAAATGCATGTCAATGTAATATCCCCGAAAGTGGTGGAAACACGACTCTGTGCGTGCGTGCGTGCGTAACGTTGTATAGTTTTGCCTCCGGGGACTCTGAATCTTGAACCTGCAGATACCTGCCTCATGTAAAATGTACTCCCTTTATAGGAAATGTGAGAAGCATCCGCGTGTTCCCTGTGAACAGGAAGGGAATGTGTAACTGTGTAGACAGTGATTTGACCTTTGACCTTCCTGTCCCTGCAGTACTGGCGGCAGGTATACCTGGTGACGGTGCTGGCCATGATCCTGGCAGTCTTCTTCGCTCAGATCCACCCTCATTACCTCAGCAAGCAGTGGAAGCAGCTGCGCTCGCTCATCTTCTGCTCGGTGGCCGGATACGGCCTCATCCCCACCGTCCACTGGATCTGCATCACCGGAGGCTTCTCCTCAGAGCTCGTCCAGGTGAGCACGCTCTTCTCCAGTACACCAGGCTTTACTCACCAAACCAGTTTCAGCTACCATGCCTTTGTTGGAGTGGTAAATTATTTTGGCTGCCTTAATATTTCTGCAGTTGTGTAACTGCTATTCTTAAGTTTTCTTCCCTAATGTGGCCAGTCCCTAAAAGAGGAGCAACTCTTGCCAATATTTCAACTCAGACAACCGGGTGCTGTAATGTTTACGGTTGTTGATGTCTTTGACAAAGTTTTGTTGCACACAGTCATCAGCTGATATTTTGTTAACTTGTTGCACATGATGTTTTGTAGCTGCTGTTCAGTTTTGTCCACACACCGGTTAAATAAATGTTTCTTTCCTTCAGGCTTTTGTCCCTCGAGTCCTGGGGATGTACTTCCTCGCCGCGTTGGCTCTCATTTTCTACGTTTCAAAAGTTCCTGAACGCTACTTCCCAGGTGAGCCTTTCAGTTATTCAGAGCAACTATTCTCAGTCACGCTGTTCTTCACCCGTAATCAAATGACAGTCCGGAATGATTTACACATGCATAGTTGATCAGAAATCATCAATATTGTAAAATACTAACCATTGCAATGTTCAGTGTTGAAGATTTTGTTTGATTTAGAATGGTAATTTTAAGCATTAGCATCTCCTTCTTGACTCATTTAAAGTATTTCTAGAGCTGAAACGTGTGTACGCACGCTCGTCTTCTCTAGTGTTTGCCAGATCTTGACATATTTAGGTTGCACTTCAGCCTTCTGAAGGATGTTGTAGACCGATGATCAACTACAACTTCAGATCAGTTATAAAATTGTCTGATTTGTTTGTAATAGTAAGGATTTTGTTAAAGAACCTGTCTTTACAACGGTATAGATAGTATTAGTATTATATTCCAAAACACAGATATTTCGGTGTGTTTTTGTCAGACTCTAGTTTCATTTCCTGCTCTTTTCAACTTCTGTGACGTTGCTGCAGGTCAGCTGAACTACCTGGGCTCCAGTCACCAGGTGTGGCACCTGCTGCTGGTGCTGATGTTTTACTGGTGGCACCAGTCTTCATGCTTCATCATGGCGTACAGACACAGCCAGCCCTGCCCCGACGCCCCTCAACACACCTAGGACGCTGCGACCACAAACTCTGTTTAACTGTAAGCAGCACAATTACTTTAAAGCTCTAAGAAAGTATTTTATGTCTTCCTAGTTTATACGGTTTCTCACCTATTCTGAACACATCTTGTCTTAATATTATAGTTACACACAATAGCTTTGGCATTAGTGCACTGATTCTCATTCAGTGGTCCTCACTGAATTAGAACATAAAGCCTGCAGCTGTTAAAGGCCGTGTAGATTTCAACAGAACCTTGAAAGTTTAGTTATTGGCCTGACTTATATCAGTGATTTCAGGTTCTTGCAAATTTCACATTCAGATGACACCTGGCCACAGCGGCAGATGGATTTTAAAAACCATCCAGCTGTCATCATTAGGGTTGCAAGCTTTTTGACAGTAGTTTTTTTTTTTCTTCTTAAGTTTATATAAATAGGGACAGATACAAAAACATAGATAAACTTTGACAGTCATCTGATGTGTGTATCATGGTGTTTTTAGCTAAAGCTAATTCACGACACTTGTCCCTAGTAGGGCTTTTTGATAAAAAAATAAAGTTTAACAAAAAATAGATTAAAAAAAAAATGAAGTACAATGGAAGAAAATACAAAAAGGATAGAAAATATACAGATTGGGCAACATGTAAAGACTAAATATGAGAGCAGTATTGTTCCTGAATTAACCACGATTTAGTGGGGTTTTTTTTTTTGAAGGAGGCTAATGTTGGGATACATTTCAAGTGATCTGGCAGAGAATTCCATAATTTCGCCCCTTTTACCGAAAAAGCCTGGGCAAATGATGTTCTTCAAAAAGGGATACTACAATTGCCTTTTGACGCTGATCGGGTCATGGATCTGGTACTTTGCTGTCTTGTTATTGTTTGGCAAAGCGGTGGTGGAGCAGCGTCATTTAAACATTTGAAGACCAGTTTAACCAGATGCAGGGAGATAAAATTAGCAAAACTTAAAATCTTATATTTACTTTGAATTTGGCAGTGATGATACCTTATTTTCTTCTTGTCCAGATTTTAAGGCTCGGTTATGAAGTTCTGCTATAACCGCAGTTTCTGTACCAGTTACTTTGGAAATATATATATTTTCTATAAAACTCTTTGGTTCATTTGTCAAAATAAGTCCAAGTTCCTAAATGTTGTGTAAACACAAGCAGCTGTACTAGAAATGTAAATAAATAACCTTAAAGTAGACATTTGATGCCAGCTTTAACAACCTATTTGTAAATGTTCTATTCTTCAGTATCTGGTACAGACACAGTACTGAGGTTTGTTACTCAGCCCAAATTATTATTTTATTAGTTTGTTCTGTCACTGCTTAAACCAGTCTTTTCTCTCTTTAGGTTGGTGGATGGCCGCAGCGTATTCTAGGATACACAGGTGGAAGAAGGCAGCAAGACAACCCTTCAGTCCATCTTAGTGTCACCACAGATGGACACATTCCTACCTGCAAGTGTCTTCAGTCCAGTCGACCTGCGAGTCTCTGTAAGCGGGAATCAGACCTGTGACCTCCAGGATGGGAGGTGACGCATGTCTAAGTAAACTGTCACAGTGGCTGAACCACGTTTTTTTTTTAACCACATCATCACCAGCAAAACACAAACTGCAGCCAGAATTTGAGGCATCTGCACTGCGTTTAAATTGACATAACTTTAAAAGCGGCTTCCATCTCAGATGCAGCCGCAAAAAATAAGAACTCAAATCATCAAGGCTGGCAAGTTTAGTCAAGTAGCCTTTTGTTTTTTTTTTAATAAGAGATTGCATGTTTCTGCAAGTGCCTGTTAATGAAACATCATGTAGCTCTTGTTATATTAAATTGTTGTTAAATTAAAAAACGTATGGACAGTTTTGCTCCTAGAATGTCCCCAGTTTTCAACTTATTCACTTACTTTTAAAGGTTTATAAGCCAGTGGTCCTCAATCTGAAAAGCCCCACATCATCCGTTTAGAATTTAGCTCAATTTTATGATAATGCTTTTAGTTGTAAAGAATCCTTCTTTGAAAAATAGGCCTTTAAAAGGGAAAATGAAATGTTTTAGGTGTTACGCTAAAAGAATGTGTGGATGTAAGTAAACAAATAATTTACAGTGTCTGCTGATCTACTCTCAACCCATTTCTAATAATTTTTTTCTAGAGCTATTAAATAAGTTGTTTGTGGGGAAACTGAGGTATGTCTTACTGAAAACAAGCAAGAACTAACAGTATCTTTCCACACAATTAATGTTTAGATAGAAAGACCAAAGACTCAAAGCTCAACGTGTTGTTGTTAAGTGTGTGAAGTATTGGCGTTTCCGTTTCTGCTGAGTGAGACAAACAGATTGTTAGTCCCAGGATGGCGAAATGTGCTTAGTCTAAATACAGGTATGTTTTGAGTCATTTAAAAAAAGAAAAAGTCAAACATTTCTGATTCCAGCTTCTTAAGTGTGATTTTTGGTTTCTTTACTTCTCTGTGACAGTAAATTGAATCTGTGTGTGATGTGGACAAAACGAGACGTCATCTTGAGCTTTGGGGAACACAGATCGACATTTTTACCATTTGCTATAGACTGAACAACTTATCCATTAATTGAGAATATAATTGGCAGATTCATTGCAGCCCTATTAAAAACTGTGTGGAATCCCTGATATACCAGATAATTATTGTTTAATTGTAAGTTATGTCCCTCGTGTCTAATTTTTTTATTTTCCAGCCCTGAAAGTTGAGGCTTATTAAAACGGCAAGTGGGTCCGTTTTTGGATGCTGAAGAGTAGCTCGGCCTCTAGGGGCTGCTAGTGGAGCATTTATTTTTTAGATTTACTACATCATGTCTACTTTGTCTCAAGATGTAGCATCACCATCTTTTTCAGTAAGAATTTCAGTCTCCACTTCTCCATTTCCCATCTCATCAGGGTGCTCAAATCAATGGATTTATTCTACCTGTGGGCATTTTTTAAGTGCGTTACTGTCAAGTTAAAATTTGTTTGAAACTGGGACGGTGTTTTATGTAGAAATTACAGCACTGATTTGGCAAAAGTATCTGCATGCATTGCAGTTCATATTGCAACTGTGCAGCCCTGTTATCTACTGTAGATTCAGAGGACTTTACTACTTCGCTGTCTGTCTCCTTAGACTTTACACTTTATTTTTGAAAATAGCTTTTTCTGCCTAAACGAGAGACTAACTCGGATAAGTGTTTTCAGACACTTTTTCTCAAGCTCATTTGGGGTTATGTGCAATGTTAAAGGTCAATTATTGTTTTGTAATGTAACTGTTTCATTCTAAAATGCAACACATCCATGTTGGAAAGAAGTCATCATAACTGAATTGCTCAAACATAAATGTTAGAATTTTCTCAAATGTTACAGTTTTGTATGCAAGTCTTGATGCTTAAAACTTAAACATTAGCCGTTTTGTTATTGGCACTGAATTACGATAGATGTCCAGTTAAATGGTAGATGTCTCATTTTGGAATGAAAGTCATTAGTTTTCTGTGTGAGGTTTAAGTTTTAGAAAAATGTTCTCTGGTGTTATGATTTCAGACTTCTTTGTTTGTTCTGTATTTAAATTATTATGAACCTGCTCTGTACAGTCTGTAATCTTTAAAACATTTTGTCTTTGATAAGTTGAGATAACAACTGAGTCTAAGACTCATTTTGCAGAAGCCGAAACTTTGTATTTTGTATTGTAGTTTTGACTTTTCATACCTGAGCAATCAAGCTGCTGAACTTGACTCTAAATAAAATTAACCCTGTACTGTTTGAAAGTGTGAAACTGCTTTGTTTTAAATTCCACTTTACAGCATCCACCTCAAGCTGCAGTGAGAGGACTTTATTGCATCAAACAGCAGTATAGCATGATAAATACAATACAAGATTTCCCCTTGTGAAAAAAAAGATGGCAAGTAGTTATATCAAGTGGCTCCACTGGTGAAAACACGGCAACCTGCAGGTTTAATTCGAATAAATGTGCCAATGGTTGTGCTAATGCAGTGCTTAAGGCCGTCGATGTGGAGCACACAGATCTAGTTCATGGAAGTATTCAGCACTGAAAAGTGCATTCATGAAGGTAAATGGCCTGATTGTATATCACAGATTTCTGTCAGTGGACCTGTGTTGAAGAACAACTGGTGATATTCTATACTGTTGATACTGTCAACAAATAACATGAAACAAACTGATTCTATTAAGTATTGTGTGTGTATCCAATATCCTGATCTGCTATTACTACCAGCACCTGATTAGCATGTTATATCTCCTTTATTGTTGTGATTTTATGGGGGGGTTGTGCACTCTACTATTGGCCAGACAGTTATTCCTTGAGTCTTGTCAGGAAACCAGAGGGACTCGAAGACGTCACTGCTCTGGGCACAAAATTGTCTGTTACCAGTCTTGAGCGGTATCAATTTTCTAAAATATCTCAACAAGAAAGTGAATAAGCATATTTCACATGACATAAAATGATCCCATTAAAGATTTACCTCTTCACGAGTATCCAACGGACTTGGTGCTGAGAGCCACTGACAGGGTGAGGAAGTCACACCTTGTTGATTTTGGTCTTTTCCTGGGATTTGTTGACATAACAAAACGTATAGAATACTACCAGCCGTATCCTGTGAAAAAGGTGCATTTCTCATTTATTCTAAAGCATAAATTATTCTGAAAATGCCACGACATCAAATGTTAGGAGCACTTACATTGCTGAGAAAACAGCACAGCTTGTGACTTTTTGTAGTTCTTAAAACACAATCCTAGACTAGTGGGCTAATGTGGCTTTCATTTCTTCCTTATTTCTAACAGAATGTGTTGTTGAGTTGTAACTTAATGAAAAATAAAGTTAACAGTACATAGTTTACAGCTAGAATGAAAAAGAAAACATTTAAGAACCTAAATTTAAACCTGACCCAATTAGTAGATCTAACTTTTTAAGGAAAAACAAAATTCAATCCCTTGTAGTTTTCAAAGTTTAACGCTACACATATCATCGCCATATTTGCCTGCGTTAGACTACTGTGAAATTATGCATAGAAAAAGGCCTAATAAGGTTAAAACAAAGTGGTTAAGGTCAACTGCCAAACAATTCCGCTGACATTAAAGGCCAACACGGGCCGACTGTGTCGTAGTTTCCGAGGTACTGTGCAGCAAGGCAGAGCCCAGCTCGGGTAAGGCTTTGTGGTGCTAAAAACAACATTTGTAGATCACAAGGCAGGCCATAAAGAGCTTTTTGCAGTGAGTCAAGCGGTCATACGTAAAGCTTATCACAGTACGATTTTCGAGTGGGTTTTCCGTTTCAAACGTCTTTCCAAGCGTTAAGATGCAGCATAAAAGGCTTCTGAGCAAACAGGTACAGCTGAAAGATATGTAGAAACATTACTCACTCCACAGGATTTTGGGTTTTAGTTACTGAAACTGAAAGATGTATTAAAATGTTAGGACATTGTTGTCTTGTCATTTCTTGATTGGTTGAATATGTTCCCAAGACACCCCCCCAAATAAAAAAAGCTCAGGGGTTATTTAACAGCAACTGACACAGCGGGAAGATGCGAGATAAGTCACTGCTTCGAGGGAAAAGGTGCACATCCGAACGGGTCGAGCTCCAGCGGCTGCGAGGGCGGCGGAGGCTGCTGTGGTCCACTGTGGATGACCATTTCTGTAAAGGGCACCGCACCGAAATCATCCATGTTTCTGCTTTCTCCAAGATCACCAGGAAGAGAACCCATCCAGGACTTGCCATTGGCTGTGCCCATGTCGCTCTTGCTGTCGGTGATTCCTTGGTACTGGCCGTGCGGGCTGCAGTCCTGAGGATGGAAAGGTTTGGCTCCAAACGGGTCTAAAAGGGCCTCGTCTACCGGCAGAGAAGCTCCTTTGTCTTTACCTTCAGCCATGGTTATATCAACACTGATGTTCTCTTTAGAGTCAGAGGTGCTAAGGAACTCGTTGCTGCTCTGCGAGTCTCTGCGACCAACCTTCTTGTGTCTGCGGACTCGCTCAGGTGTGCGGTATGTTGGCTTGTTGGTCTTGCGGCCCCCAGTTGGTGTACCGTGGTGGCGTTTGCCATTGCTGCCGCCTGCTGTGGCCTCCTGCTTGGTTTTTCTCTGGCGTGACGACAGCTTCTGGAGGCTGCGCTGCTTCAGCCTCTGCTGCTGAGGGCTGGCTGATTCCTCGTAAGATGGCCGGAAGATATCTTCTGCACTTCTAGAGGTGGTGGGAGGCGGTTCGGTGGGGCCAGGCTGGAAGGGAGAGAAGCCGAAAATGTCAATGCCCTCAGGGGAAATGGGTGGCGTTTGGCCCACGGGAACATCACTACCACTCTTGCCCGACTTAGAGAGGTTCCGGTTGAATGGCGCTTTGGTAAAAACATCAAACTCGTCCGCAGCTTGCTGCTCATGGCTGACTTGCCTGAAAGGCGCTTTGGCAAAGATGTCTGAGCTTTCTGAAGGCCCGACAGGCGAGGCTCCTCCGAGGAAGGGAACAGCACCAAAAACATCCACAGGATCCTCAGCTGGAGCAGCTCTCGCTCCACTGGGCGACTCAGGCGGGGTGATCAGAGTCATGCCAGAATCCTCCCGAGGACCTCTGGTGGCTGCTGAAGCGGCTTTAGCAGTCAGAGCTTTCTTTGAGCGGCTCTTGACTCTGCTGGGATCGTAATCGGAGTCAGAGCTATGCTGGTCTTCATCCTCCTCTCCCTCTTCTTCTGATTCCATCAGCAAAGGCCTCTGTCCTAAATTCTCTGGCTCAGTGTCTTCTCCGTGCTCACTATTCAGGCCTTCTTCCTCCTCCAGCTCTTCGTCCTCGCTGCTTTTTGACGAAGGAGGGTCAGACTCAAAGTCACTGTCGGACTCTTCACCTGGTCTACAGGTGCTCTTCTTGCCTGGTTTGTGCTCCTTGGCCGCCACCAGCTGCTGCTGCAGATCCTCTGCAATGGTTGACACAGGGGCAGGAACGGCGACATCCTTATTGTTCTGCTCAGTCTTTATCACATTGGTACCTGTTCAAACAAGACAAGAGTTAAAAATGTTTTTAATACTGTCTTGAATGTGCATTTCAAGTTTAAACCTCAGATCCTTTAAGATGTTTAAGTTTGATGTTTTAAATAACAGAATGAGAAACAGAAGGAGAGTATTGATGCCAGCAATACGTTATCGTTTCCTAAGAATGCCTCTTGGCCCCTTTGACCTCTGTAATATGTGGCATTGCTGAAATCAGGATTACTTGGTTTACGTCTGGAAGTCCACAAATACAAATCCCAACAGTTTGTCCAATATTGAAGCAGAAGGAGCAGCGAAGGAAAAATCACAAAACTCAATATGGTCTGAAAGCTGCTCTGACTTCTCTACTCTGACCCTGCAATAAGAAGAGCAGGCTTAGAGGAAGATGAAATGAGATGCACAGCTTTTCAAGATTCACAAAGTTGCTTTTAAATTTAAATCTCTTGGTGAAAAGATTTAAGCTGTCAGTCACCTCCTTTATACTTAAAATATAAAGCTTTGTTCTACAATTACAACTGCATTTATATAAATTCCTACGCATATTTGGCATATTTGCTGAAAAATGTGTGCACTGTGTGAATTTATTTCCAAGAGATGTGCATAATGGCAACTTAGAAATTAGCCTAATTAGCAAGTGGATAGTCTCCAATTCTATTGAAAACAAATTGTGCTATACACAATGAGCCAATTTATTGTTCCCTATTAGTGAAAGCTGTACTTTAGAAAGCAGAGAAGGACGCCCTGCTGTGAACACGAAAATGGAAACCTCTCCACGTCTCCAACCATCCAAACTGGCAGGACGTGATGACAGATTAGCCAAAAGCTTTGTTATTGACAAATGAAACAATGCAGCAAGTAAAGTCTCTGGGATAAAACATATTAATGTGGGAAACACAAGGTGCTCTGCATCTGTTCACTTGACCCAACTGGTCCCAGATTATAAATTGTAATCATGTTCACCTCTCGTAGTGAGACAATCTCACACGGTCTCACAATAGAAACATCTTTAATCATGAGAGAAGACGACAGACTGACACAGATTTGTTTAGTCGATGTTCCTTTGGGGGAAAAAGCTGAAGGATTACACGCTGCGTCTGATCTCCTAGAGATACAAATAAGTGGTGAAAATATGCATGTGATTGTTCTCTTGTCTGATGGAAGATAAAATCTGTTAGAAAAGTCTAACAGCGGGCAGGAGCTTAGAGAAGTCTCTTCCCTCATGCATCAACTACCAGTCAGCATAGATTGATTTGATGAAGCCGCAGAGAGGCTAACATTTACAAGACTGACTGAAACAAAATGTTACTGAAAACCAATGACTGCTAATTGTATTACGTAACAGTGTGGTTCGCAGTAAAGTGATAATGTAGTTGACTCCTCAAAACACTGGGAAGACAAAGCCCCTTACCAGATTTTGACAATTAATTATTGAAGTCATTAATCAAGCAGGAAATGCTAAACATCAGTTGTATCCACTTCTGAAACGTTTAATTTGCTGCTTTTTTCATCAAATTCCTAGGATGCTCAGATAAAGAAAGCTATCTGAAGATGACACTTTGCGATCTCTGGGAACTTTTTCAAATTTGTGTGACATTTTTTACATTAAACGATAAATCATAAAAGGAAAATAATCATTGGTTGAGTCATTAATTACATGTTATTGTAACTGGGATTCTGCAAGATTAAAATAAACATACTTAATACAGTAAAACACATTTCCTCATCACATCCAAGCTCGACGCATAAAGCTGCTGAACTGTTCTGCTCCCTACCTTACTTCCGTTTCTACCGCTGGAACCGAGAAACGGATCCAATTTCTCTGATTTTATTCATAAAATGAGGTTTATTTGGTTTTATTTTGACACAGAGAAGAAATCGTGCTTTTGAGAAGGTCAAACATTCTGATGCTTGAATGAGCCATCTTTAACTGAACGTGTGTTACAAATTAAGCAGCTGCACAAGTGACAGAAGGCAACATCAGGAAACAGAAAAGATAGAAGGACAGATAAACGTGAAGAAATTTAGGTCATGCAAATAAGGTCATGAAACTTGTAACTCTAACATACTTCGAGGGGGAAAAACTGACAAGGAAAATTAAGTTTTAACATTTTTCCCCGTTTTATCACCATCATGGCATTAACATGCAGGCCATGCGTCACAGTACGCTGCTTATGTTACCGTTTCACACACACCTATTTGTCCAGGACACACGCAATCAACATTATTGTGCATTAATGTTTTGACCATCACCTTGCCTACTGGACATTAAATCTGTCTAATTTGTTGGGAGTTTGACTGGATGACAAGCGAGCTCAAACAAAGACAGCCATATTAATAACAGGAACATCTTGCATGTGGTGTAGTGGTGGAGAGACTCTAAACTTTCAAATAGGTTAAAGAAGCTATAAAAAAAGGAACCAAAGTGAATTTTGATTTTGAACGTCTTTTATTTATCAGTAACATTCTATAAAGAAATACATTCACACTCACAGTATGATACAGGACCTTGTACATAATCTGTTGAAAAAACAAGATATGTATAAGACAACGTATTGATCTATAGGTTGTATTATTTCTGCAGGAGAGGTACCAGAAGCTGTTGATATCGAGTATAACTAAAACTGAACAGATCTGCCATATTTAAACATTTCTAATGAGAATGACGTCAAAGAAAAAGTTCCCAAAGTTTTAGTGATCTGTTCTGGGGCTTCTAATGCCTCAGCAGAATGTAAAGCTGACAAAAATACTAGAAAGGGGGAAACCAGACCCAGAGACAGAGAGGAAAAAGCACAGAAAGATTTGTATGTAAACAATATGTAACATATTCAATGTCTATGTTTGCTTTCTCATCCCACAGGTCCTGGGATAATATTTCACGTTTCCTCACACTTTAAAAAAATAAAATAAAGTGCAGTTAATGGCTCTGGTTATCCCTTTCACTTTTCTTTTTGGCTTCGATGGTTTGCCTTTTCAAAGTATAGATCCATCCACCAATACACATGAACAAGATGTTTCTGAGTATGGCTGTCTTACTAAATAAAAAAGGTTTTAAAACAAAATCAAAGCAAATGATAGAAAACTTAAATGAAGCAAGATATTTTCCCCACAAAGGCCCAATAAAAGCAGGCAGTGATATGAACGGAAACATGAAGTGGAACAGAAGCATCAGGCAACATTTACTTAAACTTACCTTCAGTTAAACACAAGAACTATATTTTACCTGTCAATATATTTGTACAAAAAATGTGTATGATTCATGTCTGCATGGATGACTTTCTCACTTGCTGCTCTAAGGCGGAATAAAAGCAGCACAGTGAGGATTAACAAACATACAGCCCTTTAGGATTGTATGGATTAAAAAATTATTAGAAAAAAAATATAAATGTTCACCATTCAGACAGCACCCCCTCATCAAGCATTCCTTTCAGCACAATAATTTACATTTACACAACTGATTGTGCCAATAGCCAGTTATGTTCAACATAAAAAAAAGAAAAGTAACACAGTTTAGAGTACCAGGTTGTGTCAGTTCTCAAAGTCCTATTAAGCAGATCTGCAATATGTGAGAATGATGCTTCCTAACATCTGGTTCAGGAGACAATAACTTCACCAGCCGACACATTTTCTAATAAGATCTCTGTGACTGTTCGCTGCTTACCTGAAAGGGTCAAGAATTACTAATCAGTGCCCGATACTTTTCATTCACCTGCCAGCTGATTTTGGTGTCTTTCTCTAATACAAAAAATTGGGAAATCAGTAAAACAAAGCTGCTGCTCAATTCCACTAAATATTTAATCAGCTTAATGTCATCTCAGACAAAAACACAAATCTTTTTTATTCACTGTAGGAAAAAAAGACTGCATTGTTGGTCAGTTAAATAAAAATGCCACACGAAGGCACTTTGTATCTAGAAATGGAAACCAAATGACACCCCCTATATAAAGCCTTACCCTTAGAATTAAAAAACAAAACAAAAAAAAGGTTGGTGCTCAAACTGTACTTTTTTTTTTTTTTAATACCCTCAATTGTAGAAATTTTTTAGTTTTATCACCTTTAATATTTTTCATTTTTCACAATTATAAAATGAGACAATCTTGTAAAATGTGGCGAGATTGCTCAGAGGCAGAGCTGCACATGGTTGGTTGAGTTAACCCTCGGTGAGGGGAGCCTCAGAGTTTTTCTGTCTAAAGACCCCTCCCTATACATTATGTATAGACAGCCATCTTGCAGGTGCATTGCACGTCACACCTGTTAGATGGGTCTGATAAAATATTTATCGCCATCGGTCTGTATTTACAATATAAATTCTGAGTCTATACGATGAGTGTCTAGTGAATCATGGCACTACAATGTACATAAGAAATGTAAGAGAAAAGTCATCAGTTTGCATCATCCATCTGCTCTCTTGCAGCAACATAAAACACAAACTGTGGCTATAGTCGTGGATTTATTAGGAATGTCTTAGAATATATCCATGGAGCTGGCACTGGTTTTTTTTGGCACTTACAATGTCACATCAGCGAGCGTATTCTGTGTAATTTCATATCGTATACTGTCAGATTGGTTGGTGTGTAAATGCGAGTCATAGCAGCAGTCACATTTGTCTCATTGTGGTCCAAGGCCAACGTTTTAGACTCACAGCCAAAGATTTCACCATGTTTCTTTCATAATGGTCAACTTTCGTCTATAAACAGTCAAAAATTGCACGTTGTGTAGGACCTTTCAGGGTTTTATGGACAGAAGCACAGTAGGATGGACTTTAAATTATGAAACTCCTGTAACAGCAGCTCTGCCTCTGAGAAATTTAAAACACAAACATCAACAGCTGACCAAACACTGGTGTTGCCATGTCGACCAAAAGTTCACCTAAACAGAGACAGTAGCGCAGAAAATAAAACCACACTAATTCACGCTAATGATATTTTCACAAATTGCACGAAGGAATATTTAACAACCAAAGAATCACCTGGAACCTAAATAACCGACCGACACACTGTGATGGCACAAACACAGGAAGCAAAAAGGCTGATCAAAAATGTGTTTTTGTCATGCCAGACTGTAGGAATGACAGAGTCCCAACAATGTGGGTTTATGTGACCTTTCAGGGTTTGAAATTCAGTACAAAAGTCCCTTCAATCTGTTTGGTTTCTTTTTTTTTTTGGTTTTTCCTTTGATCCATATTGAACTCAAATAGAATTGAATATTCATTAAGTAACAAGTGAATACAATAAAATATTTCCACACCTACATTCAAGTGCTTAAAGAGTTATATTGCATCATTATCTTGTCTTTTTCTACTCTAAACTGTAGCCACTGGACTTGCATTAAGCTTGCATGTTTTAAGGACACGAGATGAATTTACTGTAGAAAAAAAACAACTATTCTCACTCTCCTCTAGAAAATATCTAAGTGATTTAGAGTTGACACTGTTTATCATTAAATATAGTCTATGGGTTACAAACAGCATTTCTAAATTGCCTATAAAAACGGTAACCAATTCACATTTAAGGAGCAGGAAGAGTACAGAGGCACAAAAGCTTATTGCTGCCACCAATGTAATATATGTAGAAATACTGCACTTTGATATTCACATTGTTATTTATGTTAAACCACATGCAGTCTGACTGGTTAGTTAAGCCAAATAAGAACTATCATCAGGCTATATTAGAATAGACGTTGACATTGGCCTCCACAGTAAAGTGCACAGTCCACACGATAACATTTGAGGCTTTGTCCCAACAATAAAAAAAATAACTATTTTGCAATTTGTGAGGAATCTTTGCATTGCAGTTTCAATGGCCAAAGAGGGTCTGTTGAGTTTCAATGTAAACAAACGGCGAAGAGCCACAACTTTGGAAGTTCAAGTGTTGTCTTTCCCCCCCACCAATTGGAGTTTTTTAGTACCAGGGCTGAGCGATGTTAAAATTCATATTCGACAGACAACGTGGATGTGTACAACTTCACGATGAGAATTGCAGAATTAGCAACAAAACAAACAAACAAAAAACTGGATTGAGCACAAACAATCTAATGACAGCACAATACAACCAAAGAGGCAAACTGACTGACACGAAGTCAACCACCACCTTTAAGACACAAGCTGCGAAGTGCTGCACACCTAAAAACGAACTTCATTAAGAGAAGTGGACTGGATCAATGTTTGCTCCTCATTGTGCTCCAATACGTTCAGTGAAATTCAATTATCAAATATTACAAACTCATAGCGATTCAACAGCATGGAAAAGCCATGAAATCAACAACCGTATGTGTATCATTCATGAAATCTGTTCAAAGCCGTGGTTTTTAATTAGATTGCCTATGTATTCATTCTTTAAACCAGTAAGGGATAACTATGTTCTATGGTGTACATCATTGTGCATTTTTGACATCACTCAGCCCTAATTAGTACCAGCCATGTGTCACGTTCTTCCCACTAACATGTATTCACTTTAGCCTTGTTATGTTCATATTGCTTTTAGTGCCGATGGAATAATAAAAATTGTAATTTTATGCAAAGCGCCTCTCCATGAGCTATACTTTTTTTTGTCCGCAAAGTGAGACCCCTATGGTTAGTACCTTACTCCAACATTTGATGTAGACTGGGAATGTAACCCCAAACCCTGGCAGAGTTAGTGCCTTGCTTCACTCAGTGGCAATAGAGAAGACACAACACTTCTTCCTTGCATAAAGGTTTGTTACAGCAGGGCAGTTAAAAGCCCAGTATTAAAAGCCACAGCGGATTGCAATGAATTTAGAAAGTGCTTTTACCACTTCTGTACCTGCTTTGCTTCGACTCACCTTTAAATTCTATACCGACAACAAAAACACAACTAATCTGCTGACTTATATTGAGAAACCAAACAAAAATCTGACCGCTCGTTGGTTTTTAATGCTCCGCTGTGGGGTCTCTGTGTGACATAGGAGCTCCTGACTGGAGGTCAGGTGGGAAGAGAAGAGCTGGACATGTGGGCAGGAGAGGGCAGAGAGGGGGCACGTGGCTCCACAGTGTTGGGTCCTCACGGTAGAGACTCCTAAGACTTGCCTGCGTTGGCCACAAACGGGACTGAGCCAAACAGGTCCTCTGGTAGGGGGGGCTTGGCAGCGGATGCAGCAGGCTGCAGTCGGTCTGTCTCCACACTGGCTGTTCTCTCCACCGGCTTTTCTGTAGTAAGAAGATCACAGAGGGGAAGATACTTAGATCATCTACAGCTAAGACAGCTAGGCAAGGTACAAAATGCACAGACTAAACACAAAGTCACTCACATTTTCCATTTAGACAATTGCAAATATACTAAAATAGAAAGCATTTAGAGAAAGAAGACCTCTGTCCAAGATCCTGCAAAATCTAAAATTATACTAACAGAAAATCTTAAGAAATGTTTTCTCTTTATCTGGTTATGCAGTAAAATAAACCTAGTGATACACAATCATGTGATACATGTGCCAAAACCTTTGAAGTAAATGCGTTATTAGTTATTCATTAATTTTTCTGTTGCAAAAACGTAAAAAGAAAATTCCCAAGGTTGCAATGTCAAGAAATTCATTAATTGTCATTGAAATCTGTAAAACTTTTGATATAAATAATTAACACACACACAAACACTATAATGAAATCATTGAAGGGGTCACTTGCTTGCTCTGAGCATGTCAAACTCCCGGTCAATCAGCTCCTCCTCGGTCAACTTGGAGAAGTTGTCCTCTCCGAAAGGGTTCCAGCCCGACATGTCGGGGGGGTTACTGACTGCACTGTTGCAGCTATGAGAGGGTGTCGTGATCCCATCTGAAGCAAGCAGTGGGTTTCTACTGTGGAGACAAAACAGCAGCATCAACCTGTTATGTGTAGGATTAATCTGCGGCACGCATTTCTGTTACAGTAATAATGGAGTAGTAAGGATGTAAGATAATACCTGAAAAACAAAATTTAGAAGCTGAAGAGAACTCTCTGTGGAAAGTTTCTGAGTCTGAGCATGTTTGCCTGACACATGTAAGTTCACAAAACTCTGACAAACGTAAGTATATACACACACACACACACAACAGGCAGTGTGACAAAGTGTGCCTTTTAACTCACTTTTGCACATTATGTAAAATGTCCTTTTTATGCTCCTATTTGTTTTATGTTCTAGTTGTAGCATGTAGTAGTTAAGTGCATTTAGTATGTAGCAGTTCGCTTTATGGAAGGGATTAAGACAAAAAGTGTGTTAGAGAAAGTGTGTTAAGTGCTTTATGGACGGGGTTAAGAAGACAGAAGCGTGAAAGTCTGTGGGAGATATTGGAATCACCATTACAATCGTGGATAACAGACTCCATAAAATCGCTGTGCTTTTGTCATCTTTTATTGACAAAGACTATTTTCCACAGCCATCTGTATTACACAATGGATAAATAACAATTTGGGACAACTAAAATTGTAATTTACTCTGGAAAAATAGTGGCTGTGTAGGCATACAAAGTTAACTAAATTCTTGTAAAAGGAAAAAAATATATCAGAATGTGCAACAGTGACATTTACAGTAAAGAATCAACTATCTGTGATTTGGTTACATAAAAAAAAAAAAACCCCACATACTCACACTGAGATATAGAATGAGTTTTTACAAAAGAAACACAAGCACATGTATAGGATAATTTCAGGGGTATCACCTGGGGTTAGTGTATGAGGGATCCACAGGAGATGGTCCCCCCATCTGGCCAGGTCCTGCTGTGGGCGTGGTCGCATTATAGGAACCCAACGGAATCTGGAACTCAAGAGGGGAGGACATATAGGGGAGAGGCTGCTGAGCGGGGTGATGCTGCTGAGGCTGATGTTGATGATGATGCTGCTGCTGCTGCTGCTGCTGCTGGACAAAAGCCTGTTGGTACTGGTGCAGCTGTTAAGGAAGGAAGAGAGGGAGAAGAGGGGGAAGGGAATGAGGGACGGACCTTTGATTTCATGGCGCACAATGATGGCAACAAGATGATGAAATGTTGTTAGAAACCAGTTCTGGATTTGGAAAGCTGGGGACACAGTGGAGGGGAGGGATGAAGGAATGAAAGTCAAACAGCACGTAGGAAACCAAACTGAACAAATGAAATAAGTTCAAGATGCAATCACCTCAAACACAGGCTCACAATTTTAAAGCTCTATTAATTGATTATTTTTTGCCACTGATAATATGCAACAGTAATTTACACATCAGAAAAGCAAGATTAGCATTCATTTGGAGCATTAAGTTGAACTCCAATAATCACGCTTCTTTTAGCGGTTTGGTCTGACAACTTTTTAGAAAGTGTCTGACTCCTTAGCTGATAAATGTTTTCCCCCAGATACAACATTTTTCCCCTGGTGAATCTGAATATGACTTCTTTATAGAGGCTCCTTCTCCATTAGAGAATTCACATTAACAAACAAACCAAAATCTTTCTTATGTTCAATAATCTGCAGCCACAATAAAACCTTATGTCTTAAACCATATGTCTAAAGCAAGTCTAAACACACCACTGTTGTGCTTTTAAAGTACTGTAGAAATAAAGTTGATCTCATGTCATTACACCATATTACACATTTGCAGTCACTCAGCAGAGCTTCCTCATCACAATAAGGAGAAGGTCTGAGATCAACGAGGAAACGCTGCTTTAAAACATTTAGCAGGTATCTTGGGAATAAGAACAGTAATTTTAAGAGGTGCTCTCTTCCCCTGCATGTGAACTGCTTCATATGTCAGCATGCAACACAGAGGAAACTGCTCGATTTCACCCTCTGTTCGATCCCCTCGTGGCTTCGCTCAGACCAGATTGCCTCTGAAATAAAACAGATGGTACGCGTTCGGTGGGAAACAGACTAAAAATTGCACCGCACACAGTGCGCATTTGGAGGACCTGTGTTTGTGTGTTTCATTCAATAGCTGCGTAAATACTAGTTTTCTGAATATTTGGACAGAGTCAGTAGGAAGTTTGAGCGTCTGCTTCCAATGCTGCTTGGCACAGACATGAAGCTATTCGACTGAAGAGGATTGGCTGCCAGTGTTTGGAACAGAGAGAGCAATTTTAGGGCATTCTGACATTAAATGAAATATTCAGCTCCGTGTTATTTCATGCTGCGTCTCCATGTGTTTTGCTGTCATTTACTCAAACTATTTATTGCAGTTTTTGGATCAAATCTTCTGCTCTGAAATTCTGTCATGATTTTGAGGTAGAAGCGTGTTTGAATGCAAACAAAAGCAAATTCAGTTTGATGGATGTCAGAAAATCAAATTCAAGTTCAGACCTCTGACAGAACTCACCATGGCTGCATACTGAGCCTGGGCCTGGGCCTGAGCAACCTGCTGCTGGTACATCGGCTGCATCATCATCTGCTGCTGCTGGAGCAGGGCTTGCTGCTGCTGCTGGAGCAGGGCCTGCTGCTGCTGTTGCTGGAGCTGGGCCTGCTGCTGCTGCTGCTGGAGCTGGGCCTGCTGCTGCTGCTGCTGGAGCTGGGCCTGCTGCTGCTGCTGCTGGAGCTGGGCCTGCTGCTGCTGCTGGAGGGATTGCTGTACAGCCTGTTGGTACTGAGGAGGGTTGGAAAAGGATTAAAACTCTTAACATTTTTTCTTTGTGACAGTTCCAGACTTTGACTTCTACTATGTGTTGTGCGTTTGTCAGTGTGGTGGATGTACTTGGAGGTATTGGAGTTGCTGTGCATGCTGCTGCACAGCTTGCTGTTGGTGGTGGTGGTGGTGGTGGTGGGGATGTTGTTGTAGCTGCTGTAAACGCAGGTCACCAGGCTGTAGCTGCTGCAGGACTCGGTGCTGCTGACTGCTGGGCTGGGGCTGCATGGATGTTTGCCCTGAGCCAGGGGTGGGAGCTGAGTGGACAGGTATGGATTAATTGATTTATTACTTTGAACACCACACTGAGCACAGAAGCAAACACAAGCGATCTGTATAATAGAAAGCACGGACTGTAAATAAAAGACAAAAAGAACTCTGCAGAAATGCAATGTTTTCACTTTAGTTTGTCAGACATTAACTCATCTTTAAACACTTAAGCATCAAGTGTCCTACAATACATGCTTATAGGGCTTCAGTACTGTTTTGGTAAAAACAGGTTTTAGTTTTCTGACTCTATGTTCAATCATGTATAGTATATAGAATTCTGTTTTTTTCCCCCTTTTTTGTATAGAGATAAGAACATACCATCAAGATGATGCTAACTTCTATTGATAAAATATAAATCTCACAGCTGCTCAACAAACCTTTCTGGCCGTTGCTGACAGGTGCTGAAGGCACGGTCATCTTGACAGGGGTGACAGTATTAGCGAGGGGCAAGACGTTACTGTTTGCTGCTTTTGGCCTCTGTCTGGGAGCTATTGATGTTTCCGTCGGCCCCACAGACTCCGTTATCCTGGAAAAGAGGAGATAGTTATGGCTTTGAATTTCCTTGACCAATACCAATAAACCGTGTCCCTCAGCATGTGGTTGTCTGTGAGCCTGATGTCTAATGTGTTGTTCTGCCTAGATACATGTGAACTCCAGCACCAAACATAAATGATTCTTTAAAGCATGTAAATGAAATGCAAATTTTCTTATATTACTATATTTTGTATTGTATCTATTAGTACCACGTTTGTTTGTATGTAACAAGAAAATTAGAATAAGAAAACTCTGTTCCCATCAGTAAGCAGTACCTGGCTTTTGTCATACTTTTCCTTGCAGCGACCTCACTAGCCGTTAGAGGCTCTGGGAGCGACGTAGGGATGGGGGAGTTCTGGAAAAGGGGCAGGAGAATTATGTAAATAAGCAGTGACCACAGAGGCTAAAACCACACCGACTGCTTAATTCCGGTGACTTACAAAGAGATTTGGCACTGGACAGTCTTTTCCAGCTAATTTGAAGGCAAAGGAGGACACTTGGTAAATATCTGGTCTCTTCTCCAGGTCTGGTTCGAGCATATATCCTGGAAAAGACAGAGGTACTTTTATACAGCATGCTGTGCAGAACACCACTGGCTAATCACTTGCAGTTAATGTGCATCTTCTCTCTTTGGCCACTTGGTGGAGCTGTTGATCAAATAATTTAAGGTAAGGTAAGTTTATTTGTCTGGTCTCAAGCTCCACTGAAGGATGCATTTAGGGAAGTGAAATAACTTGAAAGCAAACAAGGTTGCCATGACTAACAGACTAAGACAAACAGGCTAAACATGTTTTGTGTAAATATATAAAAACACAGATCACTGAGTGAATGCAGCAGAGCGGTAACATTGTCAAAGTAACAGCATAATGTTTAACTGTGGGTGTAAATTACAATTAGCTAATGACAATGATATGATAATGAAAAATATTTAAAATGGAAAACACAAAAACTAGCTCCTTCTGGAAAACTTCACATCTTCAAAAGTCTGTGCTGCATTCTGTGTGTGAGCAAGTGACTATATTATGACACAGTCAAGCCTTCTGTTAAGTTCCATCACGTGGAGAAAGTTTTCCACCTCAAACATGTCCTTCATAACATTATAAACTGAAAATATGGCAGACACAGTACTTGTACAGTACTTCTAGAGTAGAACAGACCCATACTGTTTAGTATAGCTTCTATTCATCCTTTTTTTAAACAGTGACTCACTAAAAAGTGATAGAAAGTGTTTCTTTGGTAGTAATTAATTACTTCTGTATCATTAGAACACACTTTCTCACATCATTAATCCATGTTAAGTCATAAACTTACTGATTAAACAGTGCAACTTGAAGGAGAATTTGGAGTTATCCGGAACGATAAAGGTTCCATCACATATGGCAACTTGACTCTCCCCAAATGGAAGTGCGAAGAAACACAGCTTGTACAACAAGCATCCAAGTGCCTGTGGAGAAAACAGAAACTCTGATAAATACCTGAAAACCTGAAACTTTTAGGGCTAGGAATCGCATAAATATTCTGATACCTGAGTTTATTGTATTGCACCATAAACTTCTTTCAGTACCTTTCTTTGAGAATTTAAAACTCTTTCTATAAATCTTAGTTTTTTATTTTTAACAAAAAAGCAAAACCTCAAATCCATCACAGATTAATTTTGGCTCAATACAAGGAAGCTCTAAAGGAAATTCGCCCTTAATAAAATACAGCATAAAAGTAGCTAAATTATTATAAAAAAAAAAAAAAGGAAATATCTGATCAAAGAATAATAATAATAATAATAATAATAATCCATTTTATTTATAGGTGCCTTTCAAAACACTCAAGGTCACCTTACAAGACAGAACAGCGCAGCAATAAATCAATAAAATGAACAAAAACTAAATTACAGTACATAAAAATCAGTAAGGCTACATAATCAGAAACAAAAGACCAGATGAAAGTGATCACATTGGATATGCCAGTTTAAAAGCATGTGTTTTTAGGAGAGATTTGAAAATGGAAAGAGTCAGTGTTACGGATGTCCAGTTGGAAGGGAGTTCCAGAGGCAAGGGGCAGAGCGGCTGAAGGCTCTAAACCAAATGGTGGTCAAACCGGCAGTGAGGTGAATAGAAAAAGAGTACAGGTGGGTATGTTGATACGAAGATAGTCAGTGAGGTACAGATGAGCATGGTTGTGAATGGCCTTGAAGGAGAGGAGCAAAATCAGTGCAGTATTTAACTGGGAGCCAATGAAGCTGCTGAAGGACAGGAGTGTTCTGGTGATGATAGGAGCAGCAGAGTCCTGAACAAATAAGAAGACCGTTATCTGCCCAAGCATTTGATGCCAACTTTGTATGCATGACTCAGTTTCTGATGCTCAGTGCTACAGACGCATATCGTTTGGAAGTCGAGACATACACGACTAGCAGTATGTTGTAACACAAAACTAATCAATCTGTACTTTTTATCTGTGGTGCTCATCACAGATACCGGAAACACACATGAAAAATAGACTTCTACAACTAGCCTACTTAACACGTCAGCTACAGTCTACCCTGGACCTGCTTAGCAAAGAACTAACGTTCCTTATTTCAGAGGATAAAGAGACGCCTTTAAAAAAAACAGGCACAGAATCTTCTTCCCTGGTATTATCTCTGTCCAAACAAATCCACATGCAAAAGGGCTGTGCTCCCAAATCATATATTCAGCAAGCGCTATATTTGGCTCCAGCATCTTTTCGTTGATGATCCAGTTGGAGATGAAAGAGACTTTGGAATTAGCAACAGCGTTTAGGGCATGTTTTCCTTTAACCACTCGATCTAAAGACAGATTTTCTTCAGTTTTCCACTCAACAGGCTAATCCAGTATGATACTAGACTCCTAATCCGAGTCAGACAGAATATCTGCCAACAACCCCAAAACATGTGGATAAATGCATATGACATTTTTGTTATTTGTGTGAGGCACAATGTATAAACAGCTGAATTTCAAACACGTGGCTAAACATAGAACAGGAAGTGAGAATGCAAGGGGTAGTCCACAGGAAGTGTGTTTTTGTTGTACGTCCCAAAGTAGGTGTCTTTCTACAACCAGAAGCGTATTTAACGCTTCTGTTTATTCGTCTGCTAATGTTCACACATATATAGTGCAGACTCTCACATTTATCTACAGTGACAGGTTTATTAAAGCAAATATAAAAAGACTGGTTTCAGTGGCTGACAGGCAGACAATATAAAAACTTTGGCTGACAGTATTGATAGGCACTAGTGTACACATTTAAATGCACAAAGTGTCCCAACAACAGGTATCAATTTACACCATTCCTGCACAAGTCCAAGCAACTCCATCTCGCACCTTTATAACAGCCAGGGCCTATTTCACACAAGCATATAGAGGTCCTCGACTGGGCCTAATTGTCTCAAATGGAGGGAAAATAGAAGAGGACAGGCAGCAGGAATAGGATGAGGCGGAGTCCTGGCTTTGTTGTAAATGATGTCGCTTAATGTTTTATGAGGGAAAAACGCTGTGGAGAGCTGGTGGAGGCAAACAGCCTAGGGTGAGCCTGGAGAGAGAGAGAGACTGTGAGAGGAGAAAAAGGGAGAGAGGCATAGAGAGAGAGAAGAGGAACCAGTTGGGATAGAGTAACGCTGAGGACAAACCAGCCCTACAGGGTGCATAACACACACACACACACACACACACACACACACCCACCCCAAAGAAGAAATAGGACCATACCCATATATCAGCCTTAGTGGTGATGGCTTTCCCTGCGTACAAGTTAATCATCTCTGGCGCCCGATATGAAAGGGTTGTGTACCTGTGACACACAACAAGAGGAAGCTGTCAATAGCAGGTCAATGTTTCAGTGACTAAGCAGCACCATTTAATGCTACTTCATACTTGAGCTTCTCCACATTTTATTTTTTACTCTATTACTCTGTTTTACTCTATAGTATTCTTTGCCAACTATAGATGCTTGTAATATTATTTTACATGCAAACATTTATAAAATATTATACATTTCTATAGATTAAACTACACATGAATATATAAAAGTTAAACTCCACCTCAGTCAGCTAAAAGGCTTCTTATATGTTAATGGATCATTAAACCTGCAATAACAGATTTCTTTCTGGCAACTTAGGGGAAGCAGAAAACAGGTTGTGAACACAACAATGACATATCACCAATTCATATAGCAGCAAAAACTTGTTTATTTTCACAAACGGCAATTATGCAGCAACATTATCATTTGTTTAGGCATGATAGCTTAACAATGAGCTGATACTTCAAGTATATTTTGTTACTACCGTAAAACTGTGAATAATAGCCAGGGCTTTTATTTGCTAAAATCACTGAATTGATCTTTGCCTATATTTGAGACAGGACAATTCCTTTTGCACATAACTGAACCTACTATCAAAACAGTTTATTAATTTCAAAACAGAATAATACTAGTATAAAAATTATCCAATAATATCAAATACACATCATTCATTTGATCTATGTCCATACAGACACATTGATCATACGCTTAAACATTAATATTTGTGTTCACGATCTAAGCAGCTTAGAAGCAGCTAAAGCAGGCGACCCCACAGGGTTTAAGAGGTTTTATACATCCAAAGAACTTCTATAGACCAGGCGTTAAATTGAGGCAGGCGTTTATTTGTCAAAATGTGTTCCCACACCAGGCCAGTAAAGGAGTCTATTTGGGACTTTGCTATTAATTGAAGTTTTACGGTACTTCATAGTTTTGCTACAGCAGGACTTTGTGCAATAGAGTACTTTTAGATTTTGGTATTGCTACTTTAACTTGAGTATTTCTTTCATTTACATTTATTCATTTAGCTGACACTTTTATCCAAAGCGACTTACAATTGCTATACATGTCAGAGGTCACACGCCTCTGGAGCAAGTAGGGGTTAAGTGTTTTGCTCAGGGACACAATGGTGGATGTATCATAGTGGGAATTGAACCCGGGTATCCCACACCAAGGGTATGAGTCTCATCCGCTGCTTCCATCGCCACCCCCTTTCACCACTGCGAGCACACTTTGATCACGCATGTGTTAATAATAAATCACTAGAGTCCAGCAAAGGTTGCCTGCCTAGTTCAATGTAACAGATAGTGTTTGTTTTCTTTTCAGTCATTCTTACAATAATCAAAGCAGCTAGTTGTGTTTAAAATAAACCCAGCTGAGTTATGAAAATGCAGAGAGTCACCACAGTTCAGAGGAATGATGGTTTCTGTACGACTAGTGTCATGAAGACAGTAAGATTACAAAGAGTTTACACACGGTCATGTACTGGTAAGCAATAATAAATATGGGAAAGTTAACAGGCCTGCTCTGAACGGACTGCTGTGATTTGACAGTACAAAATTAGAAAACGTACACACATACTGTACAAGACACCACAAAGCCAAAGTGCAGGGGTTGTGACCACAAAGGACAGACACGTTTACAACCTCCCAATACACAATCATCTGCAACAGATCAACGACGATGTGATTGTTTGTAGTTGCGTGTATGTCTGTTCTGATCTGCTCCCAGTATGACTTGCAAGCTCACTCATTTGCTTTGTTGACACAAATAAACAGACCTGATTACAGTAGGTTGATCTGTTGGCCTGGGAGACTACCCTGTTAAGATAAAAGTAGCAGCTTTCCCTCAAATAAAGCTACCAGTTGATGGTATCATCGATCAAGCAGTTCCAGGAACTAAATTAGAAACCACAAGTCCTATTTGTGTTTTCCTGTTTGCATTCCCACTGCTTCTGAAATGCTGTGCAGGTGGGGCAAATTATTACAATTACAAGGCAACGGCTTGGTTTGAGACAGCAGAGTTACATTGTTTTTAGTAATTTTATATTGTGTGACAGTGTGATGTTTGCATGATGTTGGAAAGGAGACCATGCAGAGGTGGCAAAAACACCAGAAAAGCTATCTAAAGATCCGCTGAGTGTATTCTGGTTATTTGTCTGCTTTGGAAAGAAACTGCATTAAAATAATTTTTAAATAATATTAGATTTAATTTCTATAAAGTGCTTGCACTCACATTAGAACAGTCTCTCTCTTTTTTTTTGGACTAGCTGGGAAGTTGGCTCCATAACTCTGTTAAATGTCAACAACATTACAAGAAATTTCCACCCCACAATCCATCATTAAGTACCATCTGAGTAGCAGGGACTTTTTGGGGATAGGAACTAAAACTGAAACTGGTGAAAGATCCTGAGTTTTTAAAACCAATCCTGGGTTTCTCTCAAACTTCCTGTGGTGCAAAAGTCCCCTTCTACGCTGTTTTTTTGGCAATGGTTTTACATGACAGTGTCAACTTTACATGCCACTTGGACAAATAAAACAATACTGTTCCAGCAGACAGAATACAGGTAAATATTACTGTATTGACTGACATGCTGAACATTTCCTTCACTTATAAAAAAAAAAAAAAACAACAACAAAAAAAAAAAAACATACTTCTTAATCTCGTCCTCCACAGCGGTCACTCCATCTTTATGTGGCAGCAAAATCTTGTGAGTGGCACTGCCGAAGTCACATAGCACATAATTTCCCTGGTCGTTTAGCAGGATGTTTTCAACCTGAAAAAACAAACAAACAGAGGTTTTAGACATTTTAATGGAAAAACTTGACTAAAATATTGCAAAGGCATAATGAAAACTCAAGAACACACACACGACAGAGTATATACAGTATACACGGACAGATGCAGTTGAATGTAAATGGTTGATTTGACAGTGTCAGTGATCATCCAATAACAGAGCTGAGACCCCAGAACATTCGGTTGTAATCCAACCCGCACCGCCCACAGATGCAAACATGTTAGTCTGCACCCTTTATAGAAAAGGAAAGTAATAGCTTCTGCCATTTCTGTAACAACTGCAGTTTTTCATTTTATATAACTGTGTGTGTGTGTTTGAGGTTTCAAATTGTACATTTTAAACCTGTTCAGAGAGTCATCGTGTCCTCTGCCCTCCATGACTGTCCACCTGGGTACTTTACAGACCTATAGAAGCAGAGTAGGGGTTTCTGGCACAACTTCACCAACTTCCAAGATGCATGGAGAAGGGAAACAAATCTAAAGAGGTCAAAACTCCAGCAACACTTACTTTACAGACCTAACCAGCTTTAATTTGTCCAAAAAATAAAACAATTACATTTAGGGTAGTGGGTGTCACCAAAACAAAAAAGTTGTATTACTTTTTTTGTTTTTTTGTATGTAAAAACACATACCAAGAAAACATCTATCAAAACAAAAGACAAAATTTCAGTCACAATGCTCATCACCTGCAGGTGGCAGAAGCTATAATTATCTTTGCCTGCAGGGATCTAAAACAACATGACAACTGCTGATATTTATTTGTTTTGATATAGGTTTTACCATAAGTTTTTAAATGTGTGGAAGTGGTCTGACAATTACAAAAAAGCTCCTTCCCGATGGACAATCCGCATCTAGTATAATTTAGCAAAAGCTAGACTGTGGTAGTGATTGAGACACATTCATTCCAATTAAATCACATTAGCTGTGACTTTTGAAATAGTTTGTGACAGATCAACAAATAACCCTAGCCAAAGCTCATCCCCAATTACATCATAATGGGCACGGATGACAATTAGTGGATTAAGTCGCTTGTGAAAACTCACAAATGCCACACCTACACAAGAAAGTGATTTAACGCACAGAAGACATGAGTCACGACATAGCCGTTCTGTGGCTATTCTGTGGCTATTTGTATATTATCAGATGCATTTCTTTTTTTGGTTTCAGGTTTCAGATTTTAGATAACTTTACTTTAGGGCCACAGCAGAGAGATTTCAAGCTTAAGTAACAACGTAAAAACAGCAAAGATAGGTATGAGGAATAATTGAGTAAATGATAGAAAGAAATGACAGCAGGTGGAAGAAAGATGGTAAACAAGTAGAAGAGAAGGAGACAGACAGGCAACAAAGACAATCAAAAGAAAAACAAAGATGAGACTGGCTGACTGTGCAACACGGGCATAAGACGTAAAATGTAAAGTGAACATCTGACAATAGAAAGCCAGTAAGGCATTTGTAGGAGCTTGAACACAGAAGAGGAGGAGAGACCAAAAAGAGGATCGAGAAAAAAAGATTTCAAACTGTCCAAAGGAAAACAGAGCTAATGAAAGCAACAGTGTCTCAATAGTGTTGACAGCTCAGGGTTAAGGGTCTTTTTTTTTTTTGCACTCTCACTTCCCCTGGCAATGCATGACTGGGCCTCCGTGGTCTTTTGTGTCCCTGCGATGTTATGTAAGCCATGTAGGCTGAACAGATAGACACAGACAGCGAACAGAGGACAGGCCTGTGAAGCTGAAGGGACCGCACTGTTTAGAGGCTTGTCCAACTGGACAGAGTACAGCGGCCCAGTGATGGGGCACTGAGGAGAATTCAACCGGGGTGGGAAATTACCACCCACAATCAAGTTAGCTGACAGTTAGTGAGGAATTTCAAGAAGTACCAGGCCCTGTGCAAAGAGTAAGCTTGGTTCTCTAACAGGGGTACGTGGAGAAAGAGGAAAAGGAGGTGGATGAGCAGCGAATGGAGGAAGGAAATAGGAGAACAAGCTGGCAAAGGAAACGGGGGAGCATAAGAGGAAGCAGAGGAGTTAGAACAAGCAGAAAAGTGCAATCAGCATTCTTTCTTCTGCTGACCAAGCAGATTTACATCACTTATGTTTATAAACATCATCTGACATTAAATTTAATACTCAAGTGTTCAAGCTGCAATCTCCACTTTCATTCTCTTGATTTTGTTTATGTCTTTGGAAAACCATTGCTGTAGATTTTGTGCTGAGCACCACGCTTCACAACTTGTGTGTGGGTAGTACTGAGACATCTTTCGTTGGGAGGTTTCATTTAAAAAGTTTAAACTAGATAGCCCAACCAGAAATAATACATATAACCTGTTACCAGTGTATTGCATTTTTCAGAAGAGAAACAGCAGTTTGGGTTTATGTATTCCAGATTTTTTGTCAACAGTTTGAGTTAGTGCCTAAAGAGTAAATTAATTAGTTGCAGAAAAATATTAGATAGCATCAATAGTTTTTCATCAAGCAGAAATTCCAAAAATGCTCCAGCTTCAATTTTGTGCTTTTCTTTGTTAAATATCTCTGTAAATTGAAAATCTTTCAGATTTGGACTAATAAAACAAGCAATTAGAAGGCTGTCTCCTTGGGCTCTGGGAAATTGTGCTGGCATTTTGCTTATATTTCATAGAAACATTGACAATGAAAATAATTATTAGATGCATCTAACCAGTAGATTAGGGTGCTCTGGCACACCTGGGACAGAAAAAGGGAGTAATGCTCTCTTCACCTTGAGGTCTCTGTGGATGATGGGCGTCTTGCATTGGTGCAGGCGGGCCACAGCCTCGCAGGTGTCACAGAAGATGTTGAGGACCTCAGCCTCAGTGAAGCCCACATTCAACCGCTGGTTCATCTGCTTCACCACCTGACCCGCTGCAGGAGAGCGGTAGAAGCAAAGTAACTCAGAGTCTCTCAGAGTAATGTTTACATGTAAACTTGGCCAATGAAAACAAAACCATAGCCTTACAGAAAGCCAAGATTAGCCAGGAAGCTGCCATGATCAATAGAGGGACCACACAAATGACAGCAACAAAGACTAACTACTTATTCTCCACAAGCCACTTTAACTATATAAACTAAATGTAGATAGTTGGTGAGTACTAGAATGTGTTTATTACTCTGCTGTTTTTTTGGGCAGGCGTTGCTGTAATTTGCAAAAGTGGTGATTTGATATGAAGACCAAACATCATTCACCATCATTATATGACTCTGACCAAAAACATAAAACTCAAATTTGCAAGAACAGACAATGAGTTGAAACCAGTCCTTTAGTTTTGCTTCATTTAGTTTATTTGTCCCAAAATAATACTAACTTATCCCTGACCCACATAAAAATCAGAAGATATTATAACATGTGTGTATTTACAAACAGAGAGGAAATACCTTTACAGTATTCCATGAGGATCAGGACCTCCCAGACGCTGTCTGACACTGCGTTGATTGTGGAATCCAGGTAGCCGACAATGTTCTTATGGCCCGACAGCTCCTTCTACATACAGGATGAAAAGATGGAACTTATCAGGACAGACAGAGAGACATTTTCAAGAAGTACTGAGCAGGAAGCAATGCAGATCTCCTACTAAATATGGAAGCTGTACAAAAATACAAGGTAGCTATTGAGGCAATGACAAAGGACATATGTGTATTGTGTACACACACTTTGTCCTCTTTCAGTAAGTGCTGAGGAGTATTCATGTCTGGTCTTGTGTAGTGTTTCTGCTACTTTGTCACTCAATGTACAATTTAAAATAAAGCATGAAGAAACTGCAGTCTGGAATAATGCTCTGCTGTTTGCTCATGTCTTTTTAAAAAGACACAAATAAACAATGATGGATGAAAAATGCATTAAAGAAGGCAGACAAACTAATCATGTTAGATAAGTTACAGATAAGCTAATAATATTGCCCAACGTTGTAGACATTCAAATCAGATTTATTTAGGGGAGAGAAAAAAACACCACCAAAACGTCTAACTTTGAAGAATATAAAAAAAATTATGCCTCATAAACAAGCGTGTGAGTCCCTATGACATTTGTTTACACCTCCTGGTTTTACCGTGTATGAGTACTGTAAATCTATGAAACCACATCCAAATTTGCAAAAGAACAAAGAAAATAAAAACTTCCAGTGGTTGCTTCCTCAGAGAACATATCCTAAAAAGTTCAACATCCAGCTGAATTCTGTCCAGTCTCATCTGTGCAGTCAAGCATGAATGCTTTTTGTATTCTGTCATGTTCTTACACCATGCTGATCTCTTAACGCCACTAATCTTTCTTAACTAAATTCGTTCGGAGGATTAAAGCATCACAGTGTTTTTGCTTGTTGGTTTGGTTGCTAAATGCCAGCATGAGAAGAGAGACTGCTGTGTGTTGTGGAAACCGACACACCGCAACGTCCCAACAGGCCAGGACTGTGTCAATGTTTAAGGTCCACTGTGTGTGTGTGTGTGTGTGTGTGTGTGTGTGTGTGTGTGTGTGTGTGTGTGTGTGTGTGTGTGTGTGTGTGTGTGTGTGTGTGTGTGTGTGTGTGTGTGTACTACACATAGCTGATGAGGCAATGAATGTACAGTTGAGAGTGAGCTGTTCACTGACACACTGGGGTGAAACGTTCAACATGAAACATCGCTGTTGGTCCAAGTCATAGACAAGACATATCCGTTAGCTTACAGAATAAATGAGAATATTTAACTTTGAATGACATAAAACACCTTGAATTATCTGCGGTTAACATGTGGGTGCCAGCTCTGTGTGATAGATCAAAAGTGTTTGTCAATGGACCAGGTGCATTAATACAATGTCACAGTCCACAGCCAAAAGCCTTCTGCTCTTGCCAGACTGGAAATGCTGGAAAATGGGATGGGTATGGAAGATGGAGTAGAGCCATTTTTGCGCACCCTGTTTTACAAGTATGTGCGTCTTTATGAGGGCTTGTGTCCCCATTTGAAACAGGATTTATGTGCTTAAACTAAATACCTGAAGTGCAATTTAAGCCCTCCAAACCAAAAAGTGAGATAAATCTGTATTCCAGGCAGCCAGGAAAGGATTGAAAGCAAATGCAGCTAAAACCAAGAATTACACTTGACACTACAACAGAACACGGGTATATAATGGTGTGGTTACCAGCAAAATGATTAGCCAATACTTTCATTTTCAACTGATAAGCTGTGTTCAATTCACAACTCAAATTTCCTTTTCAGTACAAGTTTCTAATCTAACTTTACGACAACCTACAGCTATCTTAATTTCCTGTTGCATGATCAATGTTTGCGTAAATCAAAACTAATGTGCAATAAACATTTAAAATAAAGCTCTTGCAATGAAGACCAGCAGGAAGACTTCAGCTGAGGTAAGAGATAATAATAATAATAATAATAATAATAATAATAATAATAATAATCCTTATTTGTAGAGCACTTTTCAAAAACAAGTTACAAAGTGCTTTAACAAGTGTAAAGACAATAATACAAAAAACAATACAAGATAAAAGCATGAAAACATTGAAAAAACTAAAATACAGATAAATATAAAATTAGTAAAATACAATAAAATAAAAGGGATAAAATACAGTCAAATAAGATCGGGAAAGGCTCTTCTATAAAAGTATGTTTTAAGATGGGACTGACTCAGAGTTCACTGACTCAGCCGACCTGATTTCCTCGGGCAGGCTGTTCCAGAGCCTCGGGGCCCTGACAGCAAACGCTCTGTCCCCTTTAGTTTTCAGTCGAGACTCTGGAACAGACAACAGACCCCGAGGATCTCAAGGTACGTGCTGGTGTGTATGGGACTAAAAGGTCAGAAATATAACAAGGCGAGAGGCCATGAAGAGCTTTAAAAATGATCAATAGAATTTTAAAGTCAATTCTAAAACATACTGGGAAGCCAGTGTAATGAAGCTAAAATAGGAGTAATGTGGTCATATTTCTTTGTTCTAGTTAAAAGCCTGGCAGCTGAGTTCTGGACAGTCTGGAGTCGATCAACAGATTTTTGGGTTAAACAGGTGAAAAGGCTGTTGCAATAATCCAGGCGTGATGAGATGAAGGCGTGTAAAATGGTCTCTGTGTCCTTAAAAGTTAACATAGATCGAATTTTAGCTATATTTCTAAGTTGATAAAAACATGATTGAACAAGCTTTGTGGTGTGCTGCTCGAAATTTAAATTACTATCAAACCAAACACCAAGGTTCTTTGCCACAGGCTTAATGTGATTTACTAGCGAACTAGCGAATCAAATACTGCCATCTGCTGAGACCCGATGACCAGGATTTCTGTTTTGTCGGAGTTCAGCTGGAGGAAATTATTTGACATCCATTTTTTAACTTCACAAAGGCAGTTGTTAAGTGAACTCAGCATTCCAGGGTCTGTGGATCTGACGGGCAAGTATATTTGTGTGTCATCAGCATAAATATTAAAAGAAATGCCATGTTTATGGATAATATGTCCAAGGGGAAGCAGATACAAGGAAAACAAAATGGGTCCTAAGACCGACCCCTGAGGCACACCATATTTAACTGGACAGAATGAGAAAAGACATAGTTGTTTGCATAGTTGTCACCCAGTGCCTCAGTCTGTCTAACATGATGTTGTGATCAATGGTGTCAAAAGCAGCGCTAAGGTCCAGGAGTACAAGGACTGAGCACATGCCTTCATCAGCAGACATTAAAAGGTCATTGGTGACTTTAAGCCAGTCTCAGTGCTGTGGTACTTCCTAAAACCAGACTGAAACTTTTCAAATATTTTGTTATTTTCCAGTACAGTGAGCAGCTGTTTGGACACAATTCTTTCTAGAATCTTTGCAATAAAAGGCAGTTTTGAAATTAGTCTAAAATTATGTGGGAGGGAGGGATCTAAACCAGGTTTTTTTTAAAAGTGGGTTCACGCAAGCCGTTTTAAAATAATCAGGGACACAACCAGTAGATAGGGAGCTGTTGAAAACAGAGATCAAATGTGGCCCAACAGAATCTATTACTTTCAGTAAAACTTTTGTAGGTATTACATCAAGTGGGCTGGAGGACACTCTCATTTGTGATACTGTTTTTAAAAGCTCAGACAAGTCGACGGGATAAAACTGATTAAAACTGTCTTGTTGCTGGTGAGGGACCTCTGAGTAAGAGGCCGTGGGGGTAATAGAGGCTCTGATTGACACCACCGTATTGGTAAAATAAGATAAAAACAATTCACAGTCATCATTACTTCCAGCTGAGGCACAAGGAGGGGTTGGGTTTACCAGCTGATCCACAGTCTTAAACAGAAACCTGGGATTGTGTTTATGTGTAGTAATGAGTTCAGAAAAATAGTGTTGTTCTCGCATCCTTAACCATGTTATTGTAGTTAATTAATAAATCCTTCAGACTGAGGTAATGGACTTGGAGACTGGATTTTTTCCATCTGCGCTCTGCTTTCCTGCATTCCCTTTTTAGGTCATTTATCCAGGGTTGCTTACTAGCTTTAGACGTAGGCCTAACCTTTAGAGGAGCAGTAATACTTAGTGACGACAAGCAGATATGATTGAAGTGATCGACCAGATTGTTGGTGTTGGAATCAGACAGGTGTTGGCTTTGGCTCTGAAAGAATGCGCAAAACTTTGAAACACTTTGTTCATTAAAGAAGCGAGAACACACGGAGCTTGGTGAGGCGGCATGAGTAACAGGCGAATCGCCGCTCAA